TTTAAATGAGTTAAAGATGATTGGTTTCCAGTGCAATGAAAGCTTAACGTACAAAACCAATTCCGGAAAAGCAACGGCTGGGGGCAGTCTCACGTCACGAGCATGCAGCGCGTAATTAAGTCTTCCATGCATCTTCATAAAGAACATCTGGGGATGGAAACCCAGCTACTGTCCTTGGCAACAGAAGAGCAAACCACCATTGCACATGTGGGCTCAGGGGCCAGAGTGGGGGAAATTTAATCTGGGACAAACTCGGAAAGATAATTCACCGGCCGTCGTCTCTGGGACGTGTATCGATCCATGCTCAGCGAGCTCCTCTTAATTTATTCCATGTTACTGGTGCGAAACAGGCCGCGCGACACTGTTAGAGTGGCAGCTCTGAGAGGATGGCGCCGTGATCGATGATACCAAGCCGCCGTTTGCTCAGACTTTGGGGACGGCTCAGGGAGGGACGGAAGACCGGCTTGCACAGTGATGTATTGGTGTTGACCTTCAACACTTGACCAAATGACAACACATTTGGAACCCGACTGCCACAGTGTGGTAATGTGCTTCCTGTTGGCGCTCTCTCGCTGTCGAGTTACGAACGGGGAGGAAATACGCATGTATCGACTGATCAGCGTTTTGCTGGAGTCTGTGGACGGCAACGCCCAGCTATAGAACCAGGATGACGGGGGGTGGAATTGAGTTTGCTTAGCAGTGCAGAACAAATTTTCGTTTAACTCATGCAAGATACACACAAGAGCAAATTCATTTTAATAATTCAAACCGAGACAACAGATTGTTATGCCTGTGAAGTCAGCACATCACAGACCTCTCTATTTAAAGATACGAGCGAGGCGGAATGAAAGTGGTTTGAGACGAGATATTCATCAAAATTATGGTAACGAGAGCGACGCCTTACTCGTATCGCCTTTAGTTGTTCTAGGAATAGGTATTTAAAACAGTCAAATGCCGTATAAAAATGCAAATGTTGTGGCTGTCGAGGTAATAATTATATCAACTCACAAAACATGCCTGAAAGTAAATCGCCATTATATTCAGCCATGTGCTTCCCTGTCAGTAGTTCCAGTAGTGTCTGAGAGGCGGGGTTTATTTGCTGAGCAGTACGGAGAAAGTGCAGTGCCGTGGTTCACGCCCTTTTCTCTGCACTGCCAAAGGTCTCTGGTGCTTCCCAACCAGCTGTATGTACTTACAATCATGGATCCCTTCACATCACAAAAACACCCCTCTGGTTGGGCGGGACCTCTACAGAGTGTGGAATGCTCGGCTTGTTAGCTGTGTCGGAGGGGGGGTCTTACCTTTCATTGCTTCATTTTAATTACCGTTGAGGGATACTCACAGTCTGCATGGTATAAAAATATTAAATAAACACGTTCACTTTCATTTTGTTCTACCCAATTTATCATCTGGTTTTATGTTATGAGGTCTATTTATAAAGGCCTTTATGAAGTTTTAACATATTCTATGAAAAACTAGCCATTTATCAAGCGCAGTAAACAATGACTTGACACATCAATCTTTTTTTAATAATAATAAAAAAAAATCTGTCTGTGTTAAGTATCCCAGATCCCAAGCAAGCTCCAGACTGCTTTGCTTAATTGCTTTCATTTCTCTGTCCAGTTATTCTGTTAAGAACATAACAAGGATCACAGCGAATTTAGTCAGCCGTGCGATCCTGTCCGGCTCGTCGGCTTACAGTGCCACTGAAGCTGGGATCCTGTCATGCCAGGTAAAGAGCGCAAATCCTAATCTTCTAATTTATAACGCGCTCCGGCCATGGCGATGAGCCGAGCCGAAGACCGTGAGAGGTTGAGTGAAAAACTGCAGTGTCACCCTGCAAGTGCACATTTAGCCCTCCTGCATCAAGTTACTGTATTTATGTGCTGATGCAGCCCAGGGAAAACAGATGTCCTTGAGTGTTCGATTGTAATTATTAACGGGGATTTTTTTCCCCCCCTCACGGTGTACCTCAGCCAATGGCTGCTTTGCGGCTTGGGCAGTCCTCGCTACTCCGTACTCCTTCCTATGAGGCTGCTCTGAAGGCAGCGTGGTTCTCCGCTACGCTTGAGCTGAAGCTGCACATTATTTCACCTTGCTCTTTGAGTCTTAATTAAGTGGTCAGTCCGAGAGGCAGATTATTCTCTTTTCGACATATAACGGCGATGAACCACTACATCATCACCTTGGATATAACAGCACTGTTAAGGGCGCGATCAAGTTCTGCGGGTCCGTCTGATGTACTCCCAAACAGGCTAAGGACCAATTTGCAACATCGCGGTTTTTGGTTTGGTTTTTCACTCAGTAGCTTACCGATTCTTCTTGCACTCACATTTCTAGTCTACTCACATTTTTGTAGTTACGTTTCTTTTTAAAATATTAGATATCTCTATAACAAAGTGTAATCTATTAATATGCAAATAATGCAACTCAATCTTACGAAAGTAATATGGGAGGTAATGATGCCTACAGTTCATACCGCGCGGAGGAATTCACAAGAATAAATTGCAATAACCCTTCAAAAACTAACAGCTTTTAAAAGTATTAATTTCTACTCCAGATAATTGGATAGGACACCTGTGTGGCCGAGCAGTATTTCTTAGGGTATTGCCTTGTCAGGACTGTAGATTGTCTTTCGAGGCAGAGTGATCGTTTAGTGCAAAATGACAGTGAATCTTGGAAATGGGTCTCCTCAGAACATTATTTGCCATAAATTACGGGACGGAATTCTCTCCAAGGTCAGCTGTGAAGCTGACGGCTCCCCCACAGGCAGGGGAGAGCAGCGAGATTGGCCTCTGCCTCCACCTCGGCGGCCACAATTCGTCAGAGGCTGCTTGCCTGATTGTGGCTCCTTGGCTGGAAAAAAACACAAGCAGTGGGGGGGGGGGGTCTGGTCTGTAACTGGAGCCCTACTGAGGCCAGTGTTGTGGACAAGTGGCGATCTATGGGAGAGGCAATTATCCACTGCCATACCATAACGACTTTGATAGCTGGACTTTTATCATGAACTTCCGCATCTCAGACTGTTGGGAGCAACGTGCCTGCTGATACACAGGTTAAAAGTGGAAATAAAAGGACGGATTAACCCCAGCGTTTTTTTAAAATTCCTTTTCTTAGGTTTGGGCGATATCTAATTTTTTATACTGCTATACTTAACCAGACATTATACTGCAGCAGACGATATTTTGATGGCATCATCAAAAGCTACGCTGTTCTGGTGTTTTTGAAATCTTGGCGATAAAATGTGCCGAGGGGGTGGGGGTCCCCCATGATAAATTTCGGCAAATTTTATCGCGGGGTAATTTTATCGACAAACTTACAAAATACTGCAGTATACTGTATTACCGTAATTTCGCCCAAGTCTACATTTTCTCTGAATGCATGTCACCTCGGTTCATTTAAGAGCCCATTACTTTAAGCACCTGAAGACAAGAGGAAAACAACCACAGGTCTACATAAATACATCTAAGCTAAATATCTGGATTCATACATAACGAAAAAGATTGATAACAGGGAAACTCTAGAGCCGTCAGGATGCTGGAGCCTCTTCAGTCTCTTCAGATGTCCAACTCCCCTGGGAGCAAAACCACCCACCATCGATACACCAGGTTCTTCAGTCGTCGACTCCAAGCGATAATTTCCACCAGGCATCGCAGCAAGTCCTTGCCTGTCATCTGCAGTGTCACAACAAGCGCAGGTGCTCACCGAGATGCGTCACATATATCTGACAGTCTGACTTCTTTCACCGAGTCAGTTGGTGGTGAGTGTAAACACAGAGCTCCATTCATGTGCTGACTTGCGAAGCTTGCTTGCACTTCAACGCCACACTCTGTGAATCTGGTATCTGTCTCTGAGAGATAGCCTGCTTCTGCAAACCCATAATCATTACATTTTCAGGCTCCAATGGGTCTTTTATTTTGGCGCTTAAGGCTCTCTGCCTGCTCTTCCACGATTTGGTCTAATGGCATTCCTCGGAAGTAGAAATTTGGCAAATCAAAGCAAAGTGGTTGGATGGGGAACATGGACTGGTTAGTAATTTGACAGTAATGGTGTCTTCATCTACTAAATCAACCCATTTATTATGGAAACTGAAAACCAGAACAGTTGGCTCAAATCTTCTTGTCTTATATTTGTTTCAGTATAGTTTCCAGCTGCGTGTTCTTGAGTTCTGTATAAATTCCATATAACTCTTACACTGGCGATACAACTGACCCACTATTCTTGACTAACACGGCCACAAGGACTGCTGCGTGCATTCTGCTACATAAAAGCAATAGAACACAACCGCACTGGATAATGCACTCGTGCGGCACTCGCACAAGCACTGCACACAAATCCATAAGCCACGGGCAAACCACTGCGGCAAGCGCCAAAGCGTTGTGCAAAGGAATGAAGACGCAGCATGTGATAGCAAATTTCTACAGACAAGGATCAATATGTCAGTGATGGAGACTGATAGCAGCTTCCAGGCAGCCGTCAATGCACGGCATTAATGACTTGTAAATAGAGCTGATCCCCATAATCACGCTTGTCACTCGCCGTCTCCATGCTCCCGAAGACTCCTTTCTGGCAGAGAGAGCTCAGGAGTGACAGAAGCCAGATCAGATGTCTGCGGCACGTATCAACAAGCCGTGATCAAAGCTCAGGAGATGTTCGCATTTTGCATAATCCACCGTGCAGAGGCATCCAAAATCCTGCCGTTTTGACACCAATTTCCGTTACTTCTTCAAAACAACCCTCTTCCTTGTCTCAATTACATTAACAGCAATCTTCCGCATGGGACGCAGTACGTTTGAGTAACAATGGAATGCTTACTGACCATGATACAGTCACCCCACGGACATTGTGGTGTCAGCTGGCAGGTATAGTACAGACGGAAAGTGTCAGTCCATAACTCGCCAGACAGGCTGGGGGCTTCTGTCCTGGGTGCATGCAAAAGCTTTTAAAGTGGTACCAAGTGTTCATTACAGATAAGGGAGTTTTCTTGCCAGTGTAATTACCTTGGTCTTGTTGCAGGAAAAACGTGCCAGTTAGCTGGCTGCCCCCTGGAAAGCCAATAAGCATCTAATGGCTCCTCTTGTTCTCAGGTTCATTATGGCGCAGAGTCTCGTCTTGTGGTTCCATGTGTAACATACAATAAGAAAACCATTAGTTAAAAAAAAAAAAAATCAAAGTTAAATCTGCTTTTGCCATAATTGTTTGTGGAGATCTTCAGTAAATATTGGATAAATATTGCAATTTGAACTTGAACATTCAAGTATGGCCAATATCTTTCATTTATTTTGTTTAGCTCGTAGATCAGTGCATAAACGGCGATACTGCAAGGTCCCCAAATGGCATTGCGACACCAAACCACTTGCAGAGATGTATCTCTCCTTCAAAAGGTTCCCCCAACACTGGAGGATTTGTTTCTAATGAATGTTTACAAACAAGTATCTTTTTAAGAATAGTACCGCTACCCTCTGTTTAACTATAATGCATTATATATTTAAGATTCTGTGTATTTTTCTGGTATATTTTGTTTTTAAAGACAAATATTATAAACATACTGGGTTAATGAAGAACAAAGGTTGCTTACACACCGCTCTGATTATTTCTGACAGCCGGAAATCAATGTTCTCTCTCTAAACCTATTTTCTCTTTCTCTTTGCTTGTAAAAGTGAATTCAGCCTGCTTTTAATGGCTTTAATAAATAACGGTATTCCCCAGGGGACCGAGTTTTACAGAAAAAAAACCTCCTGCTTCGATTACCTATGGATATCCAATTAGTTTACTTTATCCCATATAACAAGACTTTAGCAGAAATATGTCACAACCAATTTAAGAGACTTTCTTCATGCATCCACTTGGAGAATGGAGCCAGAGGCAGAATATCTGACGCAAGACTGGTTGATTGTAAACAAAGAGAGAAACTGAGCAGCCTCACTCTGGACAAGGCAAAAGGCTGGCTGCACTGAAAAGGGTAGAAAAGCATTAGCTCCGAAAGAGAGCAGATCCTGGTTCATTTTAGTTTACATTTTAGAGGAGCACGTTTTGGACAGTTCACCTTACAGGAACGTCAACGGCACGGCTGTCATCACCGGTGGAATAGAGATAAGGGTAGATGGCAGGCTTGGCGGGCACAGAAGCCTACTAAGTGGTTATGAGACCGCCAAACGCGTGATGATGGATCAGCAATCTGAGCCGGTATGACACAGCGAGCAGAGTCCCGTCGAGAGCTGGCCGACCTGCTGCGCAGCACCCAAGCCGGAGAGGTCCACGGGGGGACACCGCCCGTGACCATGGTTACCGCTCCCAGTCAGGGTCTGCTGTCTCCATGCGTCGGCACGGTCCATCGGTTACGTGCCTCAAATGAGGACAACGAGGTCGTTCTCCTGGAGAGAACCCATCATCCGAGGTGTTTGCCGTCTCTTAGGTTGCTGGGTTTGTTGCCACGGTGCCCGAGAAAAGGGGGGGGGGGGGCGACTCTCCCCAAGTCCCCGACGAACTGCTTTGCCAGAAGGCTTAATAAACCAAGAAGAGGCCATTAATAAGTAATGCAGAGCTGTGTTGACAAATAATGAAGAGTCTGTCAGTTGTGGTCGGGAGCAAATCAAATCACACATTCAGCCAAATGTCACATTCTACACCGTTGTCAAGGATTCCGCTATAAAAACCAGCCTTTATTGTGCACCACACTGTAAAGAGTCACTAATGACAATAAAAAAACGACACTTAAAGAGCCAGTCAGGAAAACGCCAGTCTGAGACAGAACTCCATTCCAGCTGTAAGAGTGATGCCCACGAGTGCTGAGGTCCCCACAGGTGCTGTTTGAACCTAAGCAAAGGAGAGCAGTTGGGCGCTCTCTCTCTCGCTCTCGCTCTCTCTCTCTAACAGCCAAAGTGTGAGAGGATGGGCCATTCAATCTCCACCGGAGAGCATGTCAGAGAAGACAGTGGTCAATTTATACTTGTGTGTGTTTTTTTTATAATTTTTTTTTTTTAAAAACCTGTGCTAATTATTTTCGTTACTATGCTGTGGGACTTGGGTGGAAAAAAAAACAGTGGAATTGGCACAATAAAAATAATAACTTTTATAAAATATTTATAGGATATTGGAGTTTTATGAAGGCTCATCTAAACATGACATTTCTTGTCATAAGTATATTTACTACTCAGCACTAAAACATATTTCGCTCATCACGGCTCTCATATAAAGATCTGTGCTATAAAACTACCCGTAATGTTCCTAGTCTACTGGTGATTTTTTTGGCCCCGTAGCAGCTGGGCGACTGCACAACGTGAATGACCGGTAACTTCTAGACAAAGCACTCCAAAGCACCTGAGGCCTGCCGCTGGCCACTGCTCCACAAGCATAGTTATGAAAATGCATTTGAGCCGCACATCAATCTTCAGGAACGTGTGACACTCACTTCCATGACAAGCTGGGTGCTAGACCTTTATCCCCATTCCCGCCGTTATCAATAATAGTTCGTTTATGCGAATGCGTTAAGAGGTTGTTTGCCCATCACACAAATCACAGCATGGATCCATTTTGACACGGCATCAATTTGTGGCGGAATTAAATTTGCCCGAGCAAATTGTCCAGCTCTGCATTTCACAAGATCGCCAAAACAATCAGATCTGTTTGCACAGTGGTACGGTGCTACTAATGAGGCACTTTGCACCCACTTATAAACACGTTTGTTCCAAATACACCTGACACATTCGTAATGACAGACATATAAGGGGATTAGAAGGACTTGGGCATGTAAATGATTTTAAGCAAACAAACAATCAAGTGCAATCCCATAATCCCGTCGGTGAAATCCCATGGTGTAGGAGCCTGTTGGAGTCCTGGCTTTCGGTGTTGTGGCAGTCCGCACTGTGAAGGGGAGGTTAGGGGTAGCAGTACAGCACCACGGACAGCACCACAGCCCAACCGACACAAGTCTGGAGGCCCCCACTTCCTGTTGGCCATAGTTGCCCTGGTGGATCATGAATTAATCTGCACTGCAACTCTCCTTTCACACAGCCTGCCTGCTGCTGACCTCAAAACTGCAGTACTTCCTAATATGTACATATTTGTGTTTCAAGCACACAAAAGTATTGTTTTTTTTGGGTAAAATGCATTATACATTTGTATACAACACACAGTATGTTTGACTGTAAATATATATGTACATTACATTATTAGATTTGTTTACACGTATTTTTTATAATCATGTCTCTGGGTAGTGTATCCTATCTAGGATGTACCCCAGCCGTGTTCTCTATGTTACCTGGGATAGGCTCCAAGCTCCCAGACCCCAGTGAAGCACAAGTGGGTTCACAGTAAATAATGCTCTGTGCTTCACAGTTCTTTCATTGAGTAGCATACATAATTTTGTAAAGCAGTACAGAAGAAAATGATACAACTCTGTGTAATTTACGTATGGCATATATTAATACTTACAGCATATGGGCACAGACACTGGGATGTGTGAGGAGTAGTCCTAGCACTAACGATGTCACAGGTGGGTTCATCACGCCCCGTATGAAGATCTGCTTCCATTAAGCGTCAGTCCGATAAGCAGAGTGTAAAATGACTAGACCTTAGGGACAATGTGTTTGCACAGGCAGCATATTTATCAAGGGGGGGGGGGGTCTAAAGATGCGGTCACAAGAGCACAAAAAAACTGCGTCATCTTCGCCGTGTTGAGCGACAGTGAGCATGGTGCAGGATGTGACGTGCTGTTTCAAGACAGTGTTGGTGCAGTGAGGGATAATGTTGATAAGGAATGTCACATTTAGTTTTGCCTATAAGATATACATTTGCACGCTGCTTATCACGTTTTTTTTTGTGTACCACACCAGTCAGTATCGGTGAAATTAGTATCACACAGTGCAATAAACACATATTCTAATGTTAGCCTTCTAGCTTAAGTTAGCTTGGTGTAACGCATATAACAGTCATCCAGAGCGCCGTAATATGCTTTCTACCTTCCAGACCAGTTTGAATGCTCACTGCCAGCCATGCAACTTTTCTCCTGTTTACAAACTTATATTCTGGCATTCGATAGTTAAAAAGAATTCGTGGCTCCGTTTTGTCCCACAGCCGGTGAAGCTGCAGGGTCAGCCCACCTACACTGCACCTCATTGGCTGAGCTACAGAAATTCGTGGGTCAAAGTTCAATGAAGACTATCGCTCTGCTACCGGATGTGAGGGACCTGATTTTCTCGTTGTGCTGATATAATGGAAGTGAATGAGATATATTTTTTCACACTAGTGAGACAGCACCTTTACTAAGTTCCAGAGAAAAAAAAAAAAAAGAAGACATATCTCCACTCTTGTGCATCCAAGACAAACCATGGAAGGCCATGCAATCATGATTATCATAATAAATCTGTCAGTCCAACAATTAATCTGTCCAAAACTTTTAACACATAAATTATCATACGTTCCTCAAATTCATAGTAAAATTGCGTCCATTTTCCAGATGCGCAAAGATCAACAGCACAGCTCCTCACACTACTGGAGTATTCGAACAGCACAGCTCCTCACATTACTGGAGTATTCGAACAGCACAGCTCCTCACATTACTGGAGTATTCGAACAGCACAGCTCCTCACACTCCTGGAGTATTCAAACAGCACAGCTCCTCACATTACTGGANAACAGCACAGCTCCTCACATTACTGGAGTATTCGAACAGCACAGCTCCTCACACTCCTGGAGTATTCAAACAGCACAGCTCCTCACATTACTGGAGTATTCGAACAGCACAGCTCCTCACATTACTGGAGTATTCGAACAGCACAGCTCCTCACACTACTGGAGTATTCAAACAGCACAGCTCTTCACACTGTAATTTTCCTCTGGACACCTTTTTTTTTATAGCAACAACACACATTTGGAAATGTGGAAGATTAATGCCAGAGATTACGGTCACATTTGGGCAGTATTTCAGCCTGGTGAGCCCAGCAGAAGCACAGTAAATTAAATCCTTGGTATAATAGCTACTAGCTCCCGACCAGAGGATTATGGGAAAGAAGCTGTGTAGCTGCAACCGCGGATAGCTTCTATCAGGGAAGCACAGGAGCACTGAATTCACAGCATCACAATAGGCTCCGTCAGATGTAAAAAGACGACA